TAATTTCAAAGTAGATGACAAAGTTGACAAAATATTGAGATGTGGATTGTACCATAATATTATGTATGAATCTGAAGGAGGAAGACATTATTCAAATCCTTATTCAATAAATATCCTTCCTTATCGATTCGAGTGTTATTTGTTCTTTGACAATGACAATTTCGGAGAAAATTCATTTCTTCTAAATACTTCATGGACTAATTCCACTTGACTTAAAGAACTCCTCAATTTGAAACAAGACAAATGAGTGGAATTTCCATTTGGTGAATAGAAGTCTGATTTACAAAAATTTTAATATGGAAGTGCCAATTGCCAAAAATCTCATGAGCAAACCAAAATTTCCAGTAGTTGTTAAATTATTACTACCAGGTCGAGACCAGGTGTAGCAGATGAATTAAAAATGAAATAAAACCTCGCATAAAACCTACTTTGGTAAGAAAGCTATTGTTCTCAAGACTTCAGAGGATACGAATGTTGATATGTTCAATCACGAAAGTGAAGTCTAGAATAAAGAAAAGGGGATGATGAGTAAACCTCGAGGTAAACCTTACTGCCTCAGTATTTTTACTATTAGATATATATCTGGTGAAGCATATATAAGAAATCGGGTTGACTTGTAGTCATCAATCAGTAATCGAGTCAGTAATTGCGATAAGGAATAGAATATAGCAATCTATCACCAGACTTAGAGTAGTCCTCATCCCTAGGAGGTACTAATTTTGATACATCTAATCTGGCATATATATAAGTCCACCTAGAACTTCCAAAGATGTTCTCCAGAATGTCTTTCAGAAACATTGTTGTTATAAGTACTTATATGATCGTAATTGTATCATAACAAGTAATTTTTTTTCATATTCTGGTTCCCACGAAGAGGGATATCCTGTAATGTTCAGAGAAGATCGTGAGAACCAAGGGAAATAAGGTAGGAATTGGTGTTCTTCTTAAATATTTAGAGGTGATATGCCTCGGGGAACACCTCCCTTGACAGTGTGTTCCAAAGCCTTGCTGTTCGTTGGATGAACGAGTCTTTGGAAAGAGATGTTCTGCAGGTCTCCAAAGTGACCACGAAGGGGTGCGAAGCCTCAACTCGACGGGTTAATTTCGCGTGACTGCCAAGGGAGGAACAATTGTTGATATTCCAGAAAAGCATCGTCCATGGAAATATCTATGAAATAGAGCCAGATCCCTTTTTTTGTCTTCAATGTTCCAGGGAAGTGAGTGAGTTTGTGAGCGAGGTATCACCCACGAGACGAATTGCCCTTTTTTAAACAGAACCCAACAGTTTCAGGGTATATTTGGGTGCTGCACTCCAAATATGGAAACAGTATTCCAGGTCGGGTCGGATCTGTGCCTTATAGATCATAAGCAGCTGACTGGAAGTGGCAAAGCTCCTGGCCCGAAACAGAAAATCAAGTTTTTGGGATGCACATTCAGCAATTGATCTCACAAAAAATGATAACTTTCAGTATCGATGGAGTCTCGGATGGAGTGAATTAGAAAAATTGACAAACTTGGCGGGAATAATCTATAATATCGTATACAGCCATGAATTGAATAATGCTTCCCACATACATTAGTGTTATGGTAATCACGAATTCTCATTTGGAATATTCTGCTCCTCCTAGTTGGGCAAACCAATAAGGTTTGACTGAAAGCGGAAGAGGATGTCTTTATGTTAATTAGTTCAAAATGGGGATGACAGTAGTTAGGAAACATCCGATGTATTCAGAAGTATCTCGTTCAGTCACACAATGTGATCAATTTACATACAGGTACCAGGAGTTGTTAGAACAATTCATTGTTGAAAATGTATTTGACTTCTTTAGAAACTATACATCGCTGGTATCTCGCTTGGAATATATATTATGTTCATCAGTGAGATAACTATGAAAATACCTCGCCTTACTCAATACATTCAAGCATTATTATAAAATCCTGATAATTGGTATGAATTACTCCAGGTAGATAGTAGATAAGTATTACCTACATGTCAACCCATAGTTACTTTTGAAAATGATCCGGATAGAATGACTAGATATTATTACCCAAGGTATTATTACTGTACTTATCTGATTTTCTATATTACATATTGAAGCAAATTGATTCGACGCATTAGAGATAATGAAGAACTAGATGGCAGTTTCGGATGATGTCCATTCAATACCTCATGTAATACAAAGGATGGTTCTCAAACAGTACAAACATACCATATACATAGGTTTATTGAAAAATCAGTAGGTAATTACATTTTCATTGTCTCGTTCATTGTAGTACATGGAATTAAGGGACTTTGTCACACAGGTTTATTCAGTTTGGTATTCGCAAAGATCCCATGATATTTGTCATAAAGTATGTCATCATCATCATCATCATAATGATTTTAGTTCCAAGTTCTTCCTCATTAAATTCCGCAAATTATGCACATCATAATTTTGTGTCCCTCGGTTGTATTTCCATATTGATGTTACACTTTCTTCAATTCAATAAATAATTCGAATCAAGGCATTCCCTTTCTCTCAGGGCTAAATTCGAGGCTAAATTTCATTGACCTATCAAAGTGAAGGACTTAATATTCAGAAAAGTACAGCCCGTATTACAGTGTTTGGAAAAATTGAGGAATCTACTCACTGAGAGAGCATTCACCGAGGAAATTACGAATCTATTGGAGCCAGAGTATTATCTACATTTTTAGAAGCCTGGCTCATTTGTTTGTTGTAATTCTTGTTTCTACAGTGAGATAAGAAGATTAGAATTCAGACGCTTCTTTGAATGGGTATTCCATCTTGTAAGGGTAAGGTATCGTTAAGATTGAAGAATACATTGTTGCCAATTCCGATTCAATAGTTGATATGGACTCAGCGAATCGCCGTTAATAATAAGGAGCACGTTTCGACAATCCTGCGATCTTCATGAACGCCTATGAATGAGCTATATTCGTCTTTTGACATCTCGATTGGCAGGAACCATTCCGGGATGCTTCGTTTGATGAAACGATAACGATCTGTACTAAATATTCTGTCTCAGCACGAACCTCCTTGATGATGTCTATTAGATAATAATCCTAAAAAGAAACTCTCGAGCATCTCTTCGACTTGAGGTTCTGGGTTTCTCAACATTTTTGTCAATTTATGAGTTCACGATCAAGAGATTGGCAAGTTATAGTTTGTTAGTACCTACAAACTTTTGCTACCATTTGGCATTGAAGGAATGTTAGGTCGTCTACCTCGCCTATCATTCTCATAACATAATATATGCTAGTGTCATCAGTGAATCCATTAGAACCCATATTGTTCTCCTTCACATAGCGAAAGCATTCGACATAGTGTGGCATGATGATACTTTTCGGATATTTTGTACAAAATATAGGCTTTATCGATGATTTGATTCAGTTAACGTGTTTTTTTTTTCCAGAAAAATCGACCTTTTCAAGTGGAACTTGATGATCAACGATCTGGTATTGAGCTCATTGGAGCTGGTGTTCCTGATGGTGCAGTTTTATCGTCGCTGTTGAACAGTGTATTTACTAACGATTTGCCAAGACCAGTGATCTGCATGATGTCGCTTTTTGCTGATGATACGGCAGTTCTTGGATATTCGACAAATTCCTAGCAAGCAGCTAAGAATCTTCGATGCGCGCTGAATCCACTCCAGGAGTACTGCCTTAGATGACTAAATTTACTCTTCTCAAGTTTTTGATATTTATTCGTTCCGTTCGGACATTTTCATTTCTCAGTATGTATTTCTGAGACTGATACCGTGTTTATTTATTTTCATTTCATGATATACCGGGTGTCACAGGATACATGTAGCCTGTAGTTTCTTTAGTTGGGGTGATAAAAATTCCAAATCCACAAGGGATATATTTTTGATGATACCGCTTCTTTTGAATCCAATGAAATTTTTTTTCAACCACCTGTTTGATTGGAAGTAGACCCAACATTTTTTTTTCGAATGACACCCCGTATATTTCTGTAGTCTATCGTATTCGCCTTGATATTCACTATTCAACTATGTATGACAATTTCATATTTGTTCTTTAATTGGCTGTCAAATGTCATTTTATTGAACTCACGATACACCAATTATTACAACAATTTCAGTTTCATGTATCAAAATGGATGACTCGATGGATGATCATATTATGGCTACATGCGAGGCTACATGGCAAAAATAAGAAGACTAATAGTCTCTTCACAAGTAGCCAAATGAAAACAACTGAGTTTGAATCGTAAAAACTTCACAAACGATAAGATTTCCACAATTGTGTGGATTTGTGGAAATCTTATCGTTTGTGAAGTTTTTACATTTATCATGGATTTCCATCAAGTAACGGCCGAGTCAATTCAAAAAATGAGTTTTAATCTTAGTTTTCTCGATATCGTGAGTTATTTTTGGATGATTTTCATAAACTCAATGAAATTATTTGCAATCTTCTGGGACCGATGAGAGTATAGAAAATATTCTGATAATATCGTCTGGGTGATGATGTTTGGATTTCTAAGCCTATATCGAGCATCGAAATGTCATTGTATTCGGGCCACAGCCAACTTCATGTATTTCAATAAAATGCAATTCAACAGCCAATCAATGAACGTTTATCAAATTGTGATACCTAATTGAATAGAGAATTTGAAGGCGAATGAGATAGCCTACAGAAATATACAGGGTGCCATTTGGAAAAAACAAGTTGGGTCTACTTCCGATCAAACAGGTGGTTGATGAGAATTGTCATGGGGTTCAAGGGAAGCGCTATCATTGATATAACCCTTGTGAATTTCAAATTTTAATCTCTTCAAATAAGAAAACTACAGACTGTTACATGTCTCCTGTGTCACCTGGTATATATTGTGATAAAAAGGATTCTTCCCTGGTCTGAATCAAATGAAAGGAAGATCCAATAACTCACCTGGAAGTACACCTGTCCATGGTCGACCCATCCAATAACCATATCGGCCCCTGCCATCCTCCCGTCCTTGGAGAACCCGAACCCCACGTACCCGAGAGTCCGCACCTGCAGCTCGAAGGTCATGTCCTGCGGCCCGGGCCCCAGGGACCACAGCAGGCGGTAGTCCGGGCTGAGGTAGGCCGAGTGGGCCCACCTAGCGCTCCGGGACGCGCCGAACAAGCACAACACACACAACGCGAACAGGCACGTCGCAGGCCGGTCCATGGCTGCTGCTGAAGCTGGGCTGGCCTGAAGCTGGGTTGGCCTGAAGCTGGGCTGGCCTTAGAAGGATAGACACATTATCTGAAAGGAAAAATACATCGATTAGAAGAGCAAATCAGGAGAGGAATGGATTGGCATTACACCAGGGTTGCTTCCTGTTAGAGTTCCTCAATGTACTAGATACTGCTGTTTTGACGTTTTTTGTATATAGGTCGCGTGCACGAAGACCGACCCTGGAGGCAAAATATTGAAACACAACCTCATTCTTCTGTGAATTATTGAAACACAACCTCACTTTTTTATTTGGTTACAGAGGAATCAAAAGGTTGAAATAGTTTTTCACAATATTTTGGCATACGAATCGTGTTTCTTGCGTCATTCATTAATTCAAGCATGCCTTCGCATTGTGCTGTTGTACAATGCACAAAAAATGCAGCAAGAGACTAGGGAATATGATTTTTCAGGTAAATAGTAATCTCACATAGTTAGCATTATGAAATGTTGTCATTCCTTATTGAAATTCCTTCTGCCTTCTGCCACTTCTGCAATACAAGCTAATGCTGCTAATAGATTGAAAATGTCTGCAACACACACGATCGTCAGCATGTCAGACCAGTCCTACCGATTGATTGCATGAATCCAATCTTCTGGCATTATTCTAGAAATTTCAGGTATATTTCTATTAGCTGATCCTATTGCAGAAGGAATTCCGATGAGAAATCAGAGAAATAACCAAATTTCAAAAATGGAAACTATGTGAGTGAATATAGTAGGTACTTACTTTTGAATCATAATGTACCATCCGGATTTCTTCATCTTCCGCTGCAGTTTTTGTGCATTTTACAACAGCACAATGTGATGGCATTAGCGAATTGATGAATAGCGGAAAAATACGATTCATATGCCAGAATAATTGTGGAAAACTATTTCGATCACTTGTAAACAAATATGTTTTGCCTCCAGGGTCGGTCATCTGACAGTTCTTGCACGCGACCTATTAGAGTAGGGACATTAGACAAGCAGTGACAATCAAACATAACCACAAACGATAATATACAAGAAACGTCAAAACAGCAGTATCAAGTACATTTAGGAACTCTACTTCCTGCCAATGGGTCAACTTGGTTTACGGATAGCTGAAGGTTTAATAAGGGCAGATCTGGTGCTGGAGTATATGAAGGAGGAACAGTACCTCTTGGCAAATACACCTCAGTGTTCGAGGCAGAAGTGTTTGAAATACCGACGTGTGTCCAAGGAAATTTCGGCAGAAGTGGAAGTGGACCAATTAACATGTACTAGGACGCTCACTACATGATTTAAGATACTGTAACAAGAATTTTTGTATTGTTATATCTACCTTTTTGCTTTAACCATGGGTGACACAGGGTATCGGGCCACCCCTGTAACTTCTGCATTCGTAAACGAATTTTTCTGAAATTTGGTATAGTTATATGAGCAACCATTTCGGATTTGATCACATTACAATCCAATATGGCGGACTTCCGGTATTTCTGGAAATGCCAGCAACTTTGTTTTTTCAAATGAAACACCCTGTATATTTTTACATATTCAAGTTCAACAGGTCGAAACAAGTGCAATCTTTATTTCAAATGTCATTTTTTCGAAAAAAATTAAATTAAAATTGTTTTTTCATTTCACTTCGTGGATAAATGAGATGTGGTCAAGACTATTCACAATGAGTCACACATAACAGAAGAACATGATTTTTACTGAAAAATTATTTTTTGTGTCACTTATCCAGGAATCAATTCAGCCACATCACTTTTTGATCAAAAATTATTTTTTTTCAAATGGAACCCCTATGGGCCACCTACCCGTTTCTCTAGAACATACATTAAGGAACAAAATGAATTATCATTTTTGTTTTTCGGTGCAGTAACAAATTGTATACATTCAAAAATCAACAACTAGTTTATGAATTTCCTTGCAGTTAGAATAATTTTTCAACTAGGTAGGCTGTGGAATAAATGACATTTGACATCAGGATTGCACTTGCTTTGACCTGTTGAACTTGAATATTTAAAAATATACAGGGTGTTCCATTTGAAAAAACAAAATTGCTGGCATTTCCAGAAAAACCGGAAGTCCGCCATATTGGATTGTGATGTGATCAAATCCGAAATAGTTGCTTATATAACTGTACCGAATTTCAGAAAAATCCGTTGACGAATGCAGAAGTTACAGGGGTGGCCCGATAGTCTGTGTCACCCGGTATAAGAACCATTTTCATTACTGAATGACAACAAGGTATTTCCTCATACGACTGGTGGAAAATATGTTTTGTTTTTGGTTGGTTGTTGATCGTATATTTTCTCCATTACTAAAGTAAATTTAGCAGACCTGTCAAGATGATTGTGCATACTGTTGATCTAGGATTCAGACAGTAGACAGTACGTTGAAGGATGTCAACTGTGTCAACTATTTTGGTACGTTCCGAGATGACGCCCTGACAGGAGGCCTGTTCGTTTGTATTGCTAAACTTGCTAAAGCTGATTATTTTTCCACAGTTGTCTCTGTTCATGGCATGACGTGAACAGAGAAAGTCATAGAAAAAAATCAAGTTCAGCAGGTAGAGCAAGCACAAACGAACAGGCCTAGGGTAACAACGATCCATGAATCTCTCGGTGCAGATCATTGCAATTCTGTCGTCAGAATAGATTTGTGAGGGCTGGCAACAGTGTAATATTCCTGATTATTTCATTCACACCTGGCTGGACCTATGAAATGTCATGATTAAAGTCACATGATATGCGATATCAGCGGCTATTTAGGTAAACAAACAATATGAGCGGCTATTCTGTTCGCCAGCATTAGAGTGCTACGGTTGTCAAACTTTGACATACCTACTTATCAGTCCCTCAAAAATTGAAATGTCTCGTTTTGGGTCAACTTCCACTACGGAAATCCGTAATTATATTAGCGAATCATTATCAGGAAATACCAAGAAGAGCTCGAAGAAGAGTAAAGAGTCTGTCTGGAACAATTCATGTTTTCTGCCAGCAGAAAAACTATGAATTTTGTGCGACTAACCCAACTCTCGTGATTGCCCAAATCCTGAAAGATTGGATGAGGAGAATGTTTAGGAATACATAGTTGAAATTGGTATGGAGAACTATACAGGAAAATTACTTCAATGAACATAAACGTAAGATGAATCCATTTGGATATATCGAATTCAAAGGTGTCAGGGATGTGCATAATGCGAAAAAGCGAAGCCTGCAATATTTTCCTCAGACAAGAAAGGGAAGTTCAGAAGCACTAGTTTCAGATGAATTGTATTTTTATACTGTTTAAGTAATAATCTTCCTGAATATCACTCGACCATGACAAATAGAGACTATTATTTTCTTTAATTCATCTCGAGTACCTTGTATTTTGAGACAATTCAATTCGACCATATGAACATTAATAATCATAGAATAACTCCCTCGAGCTGAAGCTCTCGGGAGTTTTTCAGATTATTAATATTCATATGGTCTCATCAAATTGTCAAAATACAAGGTTACTCTCGATGGAATTATGGAGAAAATAATAGTCGGCTATTTTTCATGGTCTCGGGATATTACCTACGAATATTGGATCTGGCAACCTAGAGTTGATTTTTCTTTTCAAACTCAACGTCATTGCGCACATTCGCTTTTGGGAAACAACTGTTTTTTCATGAATAGCTAATTAGAACATTCACAAATAGAGATGCTGATTCATGTTAGCACCACGATCATACAGGACAACACCGGTGGGTGATATTATGATTTCATGATACCGTATATTCGCCTATACCCTGACTTTCTTTTATTTCGTCCTCTATAAAGGTCATTTTCAAGACGTCATCTTGACGTATAAATATGATGTCTTATGACTGTGACGTTTTGATGTCTCTGCGTGAAGATTTATGTCCAAGCCGCCCAAAGAAAAGTCGTAGTCGACAATGGCGTGATATATAACATTATTTGTGGATTGAAAGTCTGCGTCAAAAAATGACAAGGTTCGCGCATTGATAACAATTTGTGAAGTTACACCCTTTTCAGTTTCATATATTCATACTGTGCATCGAGTCGCTGTGCAGATTATAGCTAATCGTCAATGATTTTCAGTACTTCTCGAGTTCTTCAACAATTATGACAATCCAGATTCTGAAAAGTAGATCAAGATCAATTAAATGCCCTGAAATTTTCCTGGACTATAAAGAATTTTCACCAATGAATATTTATAATATTCATATTTATAATATTCATTGGTTATGGTAACATTGATAAAAATGAATATTTCCGATATTCCCGAAGGAACTCCTCGAAAACACATAGACTACTTATTTAAACTTGGCCTCTGACAATATAACAAGGCGTAACAATTTATATGCAATTACTTGAAACGTCTTCTAAGTTTGGAGATAGAAATTGCGATGATTTTCATGTAAATTTCTGGAATATCCTTGAAATAAATCAAAAAACTGTAAATAATTCAACTTTGTCACGAGCTTCTACTGCAAATCATTTCAGAAGGTGAAAGTTTTAATGAGGTTGGCCACATTAGTTCGCATTAGTTCCATGAATTTTCTTGCGAAATTGAAGTTGGAAACGAGATTTCAGATAAAAAGAATCCAGAGTTCATTATCAAACAATTATCAATATAGAAGTCTGCATTTTTTTGTCTACATATAAATAATAATAATAATATATAATAATAAACTTTATTCATGGCAAGTATAAAATTCAACTGCATACAAAACAATAAGAACAAAGTTGAATTGCGATAAGTACACTGTGTCCCATTTTGGTTGAGACTGCACTGTATCTCAGCTATTATTGAAGATAGAGACATGCGGATTTCGCGACCATTATGTAAAACTTTCAAAGCCACAAACAGAAATTTTCCAACTACTCTTGTTCCTGAAATACAGGTCGAAAACGAAAATGTTCACTTTTGGAGATAAGATGGAAAAAAATGCGTATAATAGATATTTTTACATAAAAGTAAGTGGCCATAATTCAAAAGATTGGATTTTAACCGGAATACCGTAGCCCGAGATGGCTGACGT